AGTTCTCAGTCTGTTGGAGGAAGTGTTCTTCTTTGCAAATCTTTTGGCCAGCATTGCCATCTTCTTCTGTAAGTCTGCTAGCTCAGCCTCTAGATCAGATTTGTCATCGTCACTCTCATCATCATCTGATTCAACCACCACCTTCTTCTTTTTCTTCTTTTGTGAAGTGGTTGTCCTTCTAGGCTGAGCATCCATTACAAGAGCTAAGGGGTTTGTGGTGTGATGATCCTCAGCGCATGCAACCTCGTTGACGAATTGCTTCAGATGTTCATAGAGTGTGCAGAGGTCAATTTCGTCCAGATCTATCCGTGATCTGACATCCTTCACTGTCTTTTCCCAAATAGGATGCAGGCTGGATAAGAATCTAATATTTAGTTCCAGATTGGACCTGAATACTTTGATCTTTCTGAGTTCATTTACCAGTTGAACAAGTCTATTGTAAGTCTCATTCAATGGTTCTCCTGGTCCTGCTTTGAAGGAGTCATAAGCGATGAGAATTGTAGTCTTCTTTGTTTTGAGGCTGATGCTTGTGCCTTGTAGCAGCTTCTCTATTTCATCCCACATCTCCTTAGCTGTCTGCATGCTATCTATGAGAACATAAAACTCGTTCGGTATTGTTTGAAGGAGATACGTTTTGGCCATAAGATCACCACGAAGTCTGAGCTTGTCGGCTTCTGTGTATTCAAATGGCACTTTTCTCCTTATTTCTGGAAAAATAGGAGGATTGTTCTCTGGATCTCCACCAACTGAAATTAAAAGTTCAGCTGGTCCTTCAAGTAAAGATTCGAGCATTGCAGAAGAGTTCTCTTTGTGCTCGAGGAAGTTTAAAAATCTGTTCCTCCACATTTGATATTCTCCCTTCCTGAGGCTAGGAGGGGTACTGCTGTTCCCTTGTGCATTGTATTCTGAACCCATTGCTGTACTAAACTGACCGTTCGAGAAAATTGATCAAAAGATTTTCAGAGGCAGAATCTCGAAAAATCAGATGTCGAGATCTGAATATTGAAATCTCAGATTTCGATAAAGGAGGCCCGGTATCGAGATTTGGGCTCGAGATTAAGGATCTCGAGATTAGGGATCTCGAGATTTCAAATTTCGAGATGCTGATCTCGAGATTTGAAATGTCGAGAAGTTAATCTCTCGAAATCTTAATCTGATGAGTCAAATGTCGAGACCAGATGTCGAAACCTTTTCTCGAAATCAAGATTTCGAAATCCTAGATGTCGAAATCCTCAGTGTCGAAATCTTTCAACCTGTAAAAATCAGATAATCAAAATCTGAAGATAGTTTCCTGTAGAGTTGAATGTCGAGATCTTCTGGTAAAGTTTTCAGCTCGAAAAACGTACCAGAACCTGTGAAGAAATAGGATGTCGAGATGCCTAGCTCGAGATATCTCGAAATCAAAAATTGCGTAAAACACAAACTGAAGTATACCCTTTGATCGCTTTGAAAAGGCGATTCCAAAGGTGTAACTTTTACAACTTTTGAACAAGAAACAAAATTACAGAGCAAAAAGTCGACAGAATGAACTACGTTAACAAAAACAGAGTATTCTGCAGGAGTTCTTCTGATCGTTCTCGATCGGCTCTGATACCAATTGTTAGTCCCTGTTTCTTTAACAGCAATGAATAATCGATCTAACAAGGAAGATTAAACGTAAAGATGAACACAGAATGAATCACCGTAAAACCTTCTTTGATAAACCGTGGAACGTACAGCAGAATGATATAAGCGTAAGGCTATGAATAATAAGTACGACGTTCAACCTTTTCCTAAACCTCGGCTCCCTTTTTATAGGCGAGGTTTAGGTTAGGCGAAACAGGCTTTTGGCCTGTTTAAATGGGCCTAACACTTGGCCTGATTTCTATCTAATTTATGCACTATTTAAATACAAGGATTAAATATAAAGCTAATCTATGACCAACTTGATTCACAATAAAATATCTCCAACAGGAGATTTCTGTGTAATCTCCAGATTAATTAATACAAGTGAGCTTTTGAGTATTTGATCATTCATATTTTATATTTTATATTTTCTATTTACAAGTGATTCTTGACCCATTTTCCTAATATATCCAAAGTTCGTGTTGGGCTTTCGGATCTGCGGGATTAAACCTCAACACATTCTTTTCTGAGAAATCATTGATGTGTATCTGAATTCATTGTATGCTCTCTGATTTGTCTATATGCTCTCTCATTTCTATGAGAGAGCAATCACAATTTCAATGATGATATACGGTATGGAGTATATCTGAGAAATACAACAAGGAAGTCAAATGATGAATACACAAATGCATTTCATTAACTTGTAATGGGCAAAAGCATGAAGATTACGTTGCATTGTACATTAACTGAAATGGGCAAAACACAAAACTTTGTAGTTCATTCACTACATCAGTTAACTGACCTTGCAATGCATTTCATGGAGTACAAGCATTTGCATACCTAGGGTGGGGATTAGATGTATTCAAACATGTGTGTGTGTGTGTGTGGGGGGGGGGGGGTCATTAAATCATTGTCCCCCAATACAGCATTTAGATGAGCATCTGTTTCTGAAATCAGTTCATCATTAACTTCCAAATTACTTGGTAGCATCCCCTGTTTTTCCAATCTTTGTTTTCCCATGTGAGGGCTTTTGTAGTTGTTGCCTCCCTTGCATTTCAAAATCTCAACCATGACACACTGTAGTCGAAGCCAATTGTGATTTACCTTGTGCGCTCCAAATTCTGCATATGCTTCTTCTACTGCTGTAACCAATTGTTGGATTGTCTTTGGAGTTTTCTGGTACTGAATCGTTTGTATTGCCTAAAACCCCCAGATCTAAGATATTTAGATTAGGGGAATTAGGTGGCTGACATACCAATTGCATATCCCACCCATCCATTGTACCAACAACCTTAAATGTATCCATACAGTTTTACATGCATTAGGGGGGCATTTTTCTTTGATAGCTGGAATCAAAACTGTAAGAAATGCATTTCTGATGACTTCCTTTGTGATGTATGTGGTTGCCTTAATTTCTAGTGTGGCTGCAAGTCTATTTTTGCTCTTTCTCTTTGCTGCCACTGATTCTGTGAAAGGGAATATTCCAATTTTCCATCCCATATAATTGATCCATCATCATGGATCCATGGTCTAGCAATGGCTGCCAGAAACATGACCTTGTTGATAAATCTTTTACTTTGACAACTTCTATAAGGATCCTCCTCTGAGGGTAAAAGACAATATCGTTGAGTAACTTGGCTCTTAAAGAACCACTTCTCATCCACATGTATGACATTGAACATTTTTGTAAACTGTGGAGGTTGAGTGATGCTTCTTGGAATAATGTGACACATTGACCACTTTAATCTCTCCAGTCTGTTCTTGTCGTTCAAAGCAGGCTTTATTGCATTTGTGTGTGCTCTTATTATACCACTAGTTAGTAACTTATGGATTTTGGAAACACGGACCCCTAGAGAAGCTGTATAGCTTCTTAGGGTGGTCCTGCTGCTTTTTGGAATGGCACATATGTGTTCAATGTCAATAGTATCATTTTCCTGCCACAGTTCCCTTTCCTTCTACCATATGTGTTTATCACCAAACCTTGTTCAACTTGTTTTTTTGTTGTTGCCCAAATTATACCAACTGTCTTGGTACAAACATTCCAGGTACTGACATCTTCTTTAATTACTCCTCTCTTACAGGTCAACATTTTTGTCTCACAACACTCACTTGACTTTGATAACAAATCTTCTGCTATTATCCTTCTTTTTGTCTTTGTGATTGATATACATGGTTTTGCAGGTACATTACCTTCTGTGTTTAGTTCTGTGTTCTCGTGAAATGGGGTGTCATCTTCAGAATTTGCAGCACCTTCATCTGCTTCAACTCGAATCCTTATCTCAACAAGCATCACCTCTTCCGGAGGAATACAATCATAACCTGCTCCACTCATCTCAAGAACAGATGTGCTAGAAAAAAAGGTGCGGACAAGGGTGCAGTGACTTTGTTCTTTTGCTGGGGAAGATGTGCAGAAAACTTGTTTGTATTGCTGTTTTGCTATTTTTGGATAGAAGTGTAAAAAAGACAGGCTTTTGTATTTATAGTGGGTGTTGTAGGGCATGATTTGGAGGGAAATGTCCTCTTCCACATGTTTTGGGCGGCAATAGGAAAAGGAATAGGGGCCCTCAGATTTGACCTCTTCCACACTCATTGATTTGTACGAATCAGTGTGTTGAAGCACTCTCTTTCCTTTGCTTTTTAATATTTCTCTCTTTCATTTCCTCCTCCACACACTTAAGTACATCTATTAATCTACTCTCTTTCCTACTTTTTTATTTGATCACATCCACTACACCTTTTACTTTACCCCTTCTATCTTCTTATTAAAACCTGTGCCAAAGACTAGCGAGACAGATATTTAAGAACGAAGGGAGTACTATTTTCGTCCTACTAACAATAAACCATAAGGATGTGACGCGATTATAAAGAAAGTAGGTTTATATGGTTGATATTGAATTGACATAGTAAGAATAAAGTAAAAATGATTCAGGACAACACAAACTTTATCAAATTTGGTATGAAATAATTATAGTAACGTGACTTGTAAAGAAAAGATGAAACAATCTTTGCGGGAGATAGTGAGTAATTTTTAAGAAATAATGTTCAAATAGCACAAAAACTTGACCATTTTCCCAAAAATAAGACCTAGTAGTTTAAAATTCATAAATTACATTTTTTTATTTGTGATTGGACAAAAACAACCTTAGAAGGTTGTAGCACATCTGTCCCCAGATCATCGAATGAAAGTTGTCAAAAAAATTTCTGGAAGTATTCAGTGATCTGTCACCACAGTTATCAAAAAAATTTCTGAAAGTATTCGCCGATCTGTCACCAAAATGTCGATCACCGCCGTTATTCTGCAAAGCGGCCACCACCGGAGGCACATTGATTATGCAAGGGAACTAAGAATAAATTAATTACACTAATTAATTACATTATATTAAGAAACATAAAACTTGTGATTTAAATATTAGGAGTTTATTAGGAGTTTAGTTGCGGATGCTGCATCTTCATCGTGGTCAACTCCTCCTTCAGCCACCGCACACTGCATTTCTCCCCTTCCTGGAAAAGCCCCAAACAGCACGCACCTTTATTTATACAGATTAAATTTAAACTGTTCATACTTATTTTTTCAATTCAAAGCTCAATTTTTCGCGGGTTCCGGATGGGTTCGGAGATCGAGGTAGTTGAGGAGGGGGATGTCAGAGATCTAGAATATGCGGCGTCAACTACGTCAAATAGCGGAGCCGTCTCCGGCTCGGTGATGGATGCGGAGAGCTTGAGGAACGATGTTTACACGGCTGCAGCGTATGGAGACATGAAAAAACTGCAGAGATTGGTCGAGCGCGAGGGGTGTTTGGTGTCGGAGCCAGATGGCCTTGGCTACTATGCGCTCCAGTGGGCCGCTCTTAACAACCACGTTGCCTCTGCACAGTACATCATTGAGGTTTTTCTTGATATGTCTTGATTGCGGAAGGCAATTCAATAATTATTATAAGGAGTAGTATATGTGCTATAATTTCATCTTCTCAACCTAACTTGCTTTTATTGCTCCTTGGAAGGAGATTTTGGAGACCCTATGAACCTCTATAATGTTTCATTAATTTGAATCATGAATTTAGTAATCAGTAATTAATCATGAATTTGAATCATAAAGATTAGTAATCAGTAATTACCGCCCTTGATTTAACAAATCTAAAAAATGTATATTCTTGAAAATTTCGCACACTTACGGATATCTAAAATTCACTATATGCTGCCAAAGGTTCTTCCAAAAGGTTTCAATATTTATAGTATATATCTTTGGATGGGTAGTGTTAGTGTCTTTTTGTTTTACTTTTCTATAAAAATTATGCTATTCCTTGAAGATAATAGGAGCTGTGTGTATACATACTAAGTAATGGAAAATTGTGTGATACTGGCAGCACGGAGGAGATGTAAATGCTGCAGATCATACTGGACAAACAGCTTTACACTGGAGTGCAGTTCGTGGTGCAGCCCAGGTTGCAGAGCTTTTACTCCAAGAAGGTGCTCGGTTAAATGTGGCTGATATGTATGGGTATCAGGTATACCTATGTGTATATGTATTCTTAGTTATCAGAAGTGATACTTTCAACATAAGTCTATGATATAAGGACCGTTTCACACTGTAAAAGTGATTTTTGATAATCCAAAAGGTCTAGTAGAAACAATGAGAAAATACAAAAAGTACTCAACTAATATTCGATTACTATGTACCAATCATCAACAACAACATCATCCAAGCCTTATTCCCAACAGATTTTGGGGTCAGCTAACACGAATCGATCCATGATATCAAAGCCAAAAAGAGAAGAAAGATAAGAGATAAAAATGGATAAGATAAAGATTAATATAAGATAAAAATAACATAAGAACATAAGAAATACAAAAAGACAAAAGATGAAAAGTAAAAGAGTAAGAAATATAAAAAACATAAGAACATAAAAAGATAAATAAGATAATAGATAAAAGAAAATGAGATATGAAAGAGAGCAAAGATCAATCGTCCACACAAATATATGCCTCCACTTTGCTCTCTCCAATGTCATATTCTCATCCAACCCAAGAAGAACCATATCAGTTCTGATTCCTCTAATCCAAGTCTGTCTGGGTCTTCCTCTCCCTCTTCTCCTCGCCTCTTCTCCCCATCTCTCAAGTGATCTAACATGTGCATCACTCAGTCTTCTGCACACATGACCAAACCAACACAATCGAGACTCCTGCATCTTATCATCTATAGGTGCTACTACCACCTTTTGTTTGATTATGTCATTTCTCAACCCATCTTTTTTGTTATGTTCACACATCTAACACAACATATGCATCTATGCCACACTCATCTTTTGAATGTGACATTGTTACACCGCCCAACACTCCACGTCATACATTAATGCAGACCTAATTGTTGTTCGATAAAATTTACCCATCATTTTAGTCGACATATCTGGATCACATAGAAATCCCGATGCATTCTTCCATTTCATCCACCGTGCTCTGATTCTATGTGATACATCTCCATCTAATTCACCATCCTTATGAATTATGGGGTAATAGAACATATCACACACTAGTATCTTTTTTCCATCAATGGTAATCCCACTGTTACTACTACTTCAACCTCCACCAAACTTGCACTTCACATACTCAGCCTTACATCGGCTCAGTCTAAAACCCTTTGGTCTCCAATGTTTGTCGCCATACTTTCAACTTTGCTTTAACAACCGATTGCGTCTCATCAATCAATACAATATCGTCGACAAACATCATGCACCACAATATATCTTCTTGAATTGATTTCGTAAGTTCATCCATGACTATAACTAATAAGAAAAGACTCAAATCTGATCCTTGGTGCACTCCGATTGTAATAGGGAACTCTGCAGTCCTCCCTACACTAGTATGAACACTTGCGGTACAAGCTTTATACATATCCATGATTACAATGATATACTTACGCGATATGCCTTTGCTAGTTAAGGCTCACCAAAGGACTTCTTGAGGTACCTCAAGTTGTTGAGCGTCCAAGCATAAAACCAAACCGATTCTACAAGTTTTTCACACTTTTTTCAGAGCCTTTGCTCAACCGCTCCCAAAGTTTCATGGTGTCTCATAAGCTTAGTCTCTCGATAGTTGGCACATTCTTGTACATCACCCTTATTTTTAAATAGGGGAATGAGAGTACTCTTTTTCCAACTCACTGGCATTTTATAGGATACACAATATAAATGGAACATAATCTAGAAAGAAGAATATATGGTGCAAAATTGTTCCAAATAGGCAGCACGTCTTCTTGTATATGCTGCCTTCTTTTATATATTGTGTTCTTTGTCCAAAAGTTTCAGAACACATATTCATGATCTCTTTTGTGATTTTTAATGCAATATATTAGATTGCAAACCTTGTGTCCAAACCTTATTAGTAATTACTACTACTATCAAGTCTATCATCATCATCATTATATATGGTCTTACCTAGTCTAATATATAGAATACGAGGATAGGAAATTGAGGGAAAAGATGTAGAAGAAGAATTGCTGGAATCTGCATAAGTACAAAGGGAAGAGGGATAGAAAAATGGTTTTCTTTGGTAAGTTTTGTCCGGTTGCAGCTTTGTTCCGCCTTTGCGCCCCAGCCAACTAGAGGCGTAAGCCTCATTTAGTGAATTGAGGCTTAAGCCTCATGCAATTTCTTAGTGCCTCGATGCCTTTGCGTCTTTAAAGCGTACGCCTCACGCGTATGGAAACCATGACATATCCTTATACATAGATATGTTACCATGATGAAGTATTGGTGCATAGTAGCAGAACTTGATGAAGATGGTTCACCGCTTCACCCATGTTGATACTTTATTAATCTTATCAAAGAAAACGAGAATAAACATACACAAATATTGCCTGAAGATCATATCCTTAGGTTCTGGATGTGGATGGGGCGTTTATCAGCCGAATGGCATCACAAAGAATTGAAGGTGAAGTGGCGAGTTTAAAAAGTTCTTTTTCCTCCACATCTATGCGGTGCATCAGTATGCGGTGAAGATGGTTCACCGCTTCACCCATATTGATACTTTAAAAATCTTATCAAAGAAAACGAGAATAAAGAATAAACATACACAAATATTGCCAGATCATATCCTTAGGTTCTGGATGTGGATGGGGCGTTTGTCAGCCGAATGGCATCACAAAGAATTGAAGGTGAAGTGGCGAGTTTAAAAAGTTCTTTTTCCTCCACATCTATGCGGTGCATCAGTATATAGTGATATCCCATACACCTGAATTGGTATATCCCTACTCTAAGTCTAACTTGGTGAAATATTTATTCAAACACTAACCAATTGTGCTGAACAATCCTCTGTTGAAGCATTCTATCACACAGTGGACACATGGTCTCAATTTCATCAATTTGGAAGTGAGGGTATCCATAAGGCCGCACACACCATCAATAATGTCAAATAGTGGCCATGGCGGTTAGCGGTTGCGGATCCTGAGTAAACTGCCATTGTATAGCAGTGGCATTGCGGAATTGTTGTAGCGCTGCTAATCTTGCAATATAGCCGCTATGATGGATATCTGTGTGGCGTCATAGAGCCATGTTGGGTCTTATGGGTGCCTGAATATCTGATTATCTGGCTTATTTTTTTACTAGATGATGTGTAACAGAAAAATAAAATCAACGGGGTAAACCGTTGCCCAGATAATCAACGATAAAGATACCGTTGCCCGAGCCAAAGGGCTAAAATCCAACTTTATTCCAAGATAATAAGAATGAACCCTGGCGAGGGGTATAAATAGCCTTTTACAAGAAACCCTAATCAAGCCCAAATTAATTAAATCCTAATTAGGCCCATACTAACTCTACTAAGTACTCTACTAATAAAAGGCCCAAACAAAAACATAACATTAACTTAATAATAATTAAACTATAACGACAACCCTAACCCGGCCCACGGAAGTGGGCCCAAGCCCGGTCCCGCCCCATGCTCTTCCCGCTCTCTATCAATCCATCCTCCTTCAAAATAACCTTGCCCTCAAGGTTGAAATCTCACATACGGGGAACTGAAATTTCCGAACATATAATAGACTGGAAAATATCCTTCCTCTCTTTCCTGAACCCTTTCCTAGCCGGTTATTTCACAGTACTCATGCTGTTGGAGGTCCAACTCTTCCTCCTCCTCGGCTATCATTACCTGCAACTGCTTAAAGGGACAGTCATGCCCCGGTGTAAATGGTTTCTTACACCTAAAGCATAATCCTTTCGCCCGCAATTCTGCAAACTTTTTCGGCGGAAGTTGAGTGAACTGAGAGCGTGTCGTGGGCTGCCCGGACAGCCCTGACTTTGTCCCCGGAGGCTGCCCAATGTTTTTAGGAAAGCTGCCATTCAATCCTCTTAAGCTGCCACCACCTATGGTCGTGCTCTTACTGCCACTTGGGCGCGAAAAACTGCTCGAATGCAAGTTCTTGTCGAAGGGTTGACGTTCCCACTCTCCATCTTGAAAGGACAAGTTGTCTTCAATGTCTCTGGCCAATTGCATTGCAATCTCCAAGCTGTTTGGCCGCAACAATCGTAAGGATCCCCGAATCGGTCCCTTCAGCCCGTTCATGAAATACCCCAAATAATGATCCTTGGACAGCCCAAGAACATGACTGGCCAACTGCACAAAAAGGTTATTATATTCTTCTATGGTCCCCAACTGTTTGGCCCCGGACAGCCGTTCAAATCGGTTGCCCTTGAACCGTGAATCAAAACGGGCCACCAGTGCATCTGTGAATTCCTCCCAAGTCGGGCCCGGTTTCTGTGCCTTCAACCAGGTCAACCAGTACAGGGCAGCCCCTTCCATGGCTACCGTAGCTGCTGCCACTTTCCTCTCATCTAGGGTTTGATTAATTTCGAACCGTTGTTCAGCCCTAGCTATCCACCCGATCGGTTCTGCACCGTCGAACGAGGGAAGCAAGGTTGTTGCCGTACTGCGCAAGCCTTCATCGATCGTGTGCACAGAAGCGACGTGCGCAGGAGAGCCGCTGCCACTGGCTGATGTCGGCGTCTTTTGTGGCGGCACCATGGCCTTCGCGATCACTGCCAGGGAGGCTGCGATTTCCGCAAGTTGGGCTCCATGTTGTTCCAGCATCAGTCCCTGCGCATCTTGCTTTAGTCCCTCCGCATCAAGCTTCTCTTTAATTAGGGTTTGTTCGGCCTCCAGTTCGCTCAAACGATCGTTCTGTGTTCTCGTCATCTTGGCGGGACGGGATCCGGCAGGTCAGACCAATTGATGTGTAACAGAAAAATAAAATCAACGGGGTAAACCGTTGCCCATATAATCAATGATAAAGATACCGTTGCCCAGAGCCAAAAGGCTAAAATCCAACTTTATTCCAAGATAATAAGAATGAACCCCTACAAGAAACCAACTTTATAAATAGCCTTCTACAAGAAACCCTAATCAAGCCCAAATTAATTAAATCCTAATTAGGCCCATACTAACTCTACTAAGTACTCTACTAATAAATGGCCCAAACCAAAACATAACATTAACTTAATAATAATAATTAAACTATAATGACAGCCCTAACCCGGCCCACTTCAAGCCTGGTCCCGCCCCATGCTCTTCCCGCTCTCTATCACTAGATGACCACCCATCTGACCATTTTAAGGGTCGTTTCAATAAAACTAAGCTGACCCATCTGCCCAGCTGATTTGTTCTACTATCAGACTACTTATTTGTATTTTATTTAATCCTAAAATTAGAAAGGAAACTCTAGTCTACTGTGGCTGTTTGTTCTTCGTCTACTCTCTTGTGGGTTTCCTCCTCTCTGCTTCATCTTTGCAAGCTGTACTTAGTGCTTTAGACCTCTAGTCAGATTCAGAACTCATCCTTCATCATCTACCCTCCTGTTTGGTAAGCCATGCCTCTATTTCCCCCCAAAGTTATTACAATTATATTCTTCCAATTCTATTTTAAACTCTTGTCTCCTTGTGATCTCTTTTTTGTTATTCTTTTCTCTTGCAATCTGTTTATATGTTTTCACTTATTTTATTATATTTTGGTTGATGATTCTATGTTGAGTACATTCATTTTTTTTTTTTTTTTTTTTTGCGTTGGATAGACAGGCAGTTACATCTTATTGCTATATCTAAAAATAATTATTATATATGTAATTCATTTGACCTAATCTGCCATATTTATATACCTGTTTTAGGCTTCCGTACCATATTCCGGTATCTGCTATTGATAACAGTGCACACCATGATTTTTCTGCTTCCTGGTTTGAGAGTGATTTTTCCACAACTATGTCCTCATACTCCACTACTCCTCTATTAACATGTCCATGTGTGCCTTATCGGGATATTGAGTTGTAGGCTTATAGCAAGTCGATGCACAAAACCCCAATACTTTTCTTTCCATGTAATGTTGGAGTTGCCGTTCCTAAGTTTCATAATCAAGGTGGAGAAATCCCCACCTATAGGCCCCAATGTCTACTCTGAGCACGTCAAACCCACCTAACAAAGTTGTGTAATAACTCGCTAGGTGAAATAGTAAATAGGTATTCTTCATAATTGACAATCATCATCATTCATCATCATCATTACCCCAGTGCTGCAAAGGCTCCCACCGATAGTGGGGTAAGGGGGGTCGGATGTACGCAGCCTTACCCCTGCACTAAAGCACAAACAGACTGTCTCCGGATGACCCAAAATAGTGAAAATCACGTTGAAAATTGCACAGGCTGACTGTTACTTCATAACAAAGAGGCGCAGACAGTTTAGTGAGCCATTTTGCTTTATTCCATCATACTCCCAAGCCAAAAAATAGTGAGTCTTTGGCTCCATTGCAAATGATGGAAAGTTTCTTCATAATTGACAATGAATCTCATAAATTAGGATAATCCCCATATGGCCACATTAGGTCAGTACAATGTCAAGAGATCAATGCATTCTGCAAGATATTGTGTGTGGTCCCTAGAACGATTAATACTGATGTCGGTCTACCATTTGTGCAAGTAATTGCATCATGGACAATTGGCTGTGTCCTAGTGATGTCGTTTCCCAGGCAGTAATCATTGTTTCATTTTGCTTTTAGGAAATGTATTTATTTATTTATGATATAAAGATCACCACTCATCTTTGATTTTTTTCTTAATGGCCAGTTTCAAACATATCACAGACATGTGATTGTTTAATGACAACTAAAAGCAGTTGTTTCTCCATCTTCTTTATTCTGTCTTTTCTAATGTTTACAATCAGTTATTATTGTCATTACAAGCATTTTAAAGGGAAAAACACACAAATTTGATGCGGGCGTGCTTTTTGCTTTGAAGAGAAATTGCAGAGCGAGTTGTTGCTTTCACACATAAATCATTGTTTTCTAAAAACTATTTGTATGTAATGCAAATCAAAGGAAAAAGTGCTAAAATAGTCATAATACTCAGCAACTTGTAATAACACATAACTGAAAACTATCTTCACGTAGTCATAATCAGCTAAGAGTCATAATGACATGCGCAAGAATGTTTGATATGTTTGTTCTTGCCTTTGAGATTTAATGTTCATATTGAGATGGGGACACTAGGTACTTTTTTTGGTCGATAGAAAGTTTAAAAGGTTGGCCTGATGTTTACCAATGCTTTTCTGAGAAGCACTGTAAAGGTGCTGCAAAGCAGTTGGGCTTCATCGCTTAAGAAGCAAAGTGAGGCCTTTAACCAGTCTGTTCGCTAGTGGTTTTAGTGCTTTTTCCCCATGCCAGTCTGTTCGCTAGTGGTTTTAGTGCTTTTCCCCCATGTTTCCTGCCTTGTTATTACTCCATATTGTTTTATGGTAGCTGGTGCAGCATATTATAGATATTCCCTTTTTCTTATCAAGTGTACTAAGAAAAGGATCATGCAATTGCCTTCAGGCAACACATGTCGCTGCTCAATATGGTCAGACAGCTTTTCTTTATTATATAGTTTCAAAGTGGAATGCAGATCCCGACTTTCCAGATAATGACGGGAGAAGCCCATTACACTGGTATTCAATTTTAACATTGCTGTATCTTTTTAACTGGAGTGTTGGGTTATTATGTAGTGCGTTGTCTTTACATCTGTGTGCATCAGCTAAAGGTTTGTTCTCTTTGAGCGTATTATACTCCAAATCTAGTCTGTATTTAATAGAAAGAAAATATGCTCTCGTATTTTGTTGGAGTATTGTCTTTCAAAACTTCCACACACAACATTTTTCTCTAAATCAATCAAGTGGGGGGGAGGGGGTTAATTGCATTTTAAAAGAAGCTAAAAACACCACCTTTGTTTGTGTTCTTATGGACACATAGACACTCTTAGACATGGGGTCAGTGAGTGAACATAAAGAAATATGATATCTAATACGGTGTATTTGTAGCAATACTCTACTTTTTCATGTTAACCAGGAAAGGGAACTAAGACGTTACGAGCAAGAAAATCATGCATTTCTTTGCTTGACTTCTTTATGTTCTAGTCTTTGTAGTATGTTTTTCTCCACTAGTGGAAGTGAACATCAGGGCAACTCGAAGTCATATCAACATGACTACTAATGGGGATGATACATAAGCAATGGTTGTATTTTGTGTTTAGTGAAAATAGTGTTATTGACTTATTGGTTGATCACTTTAAAAGGTGTCAATATGATCTCAATATGTCCTTTCACTCTATTCTTTGTTAGTTGATTTATTCTTAATAGTGGATTTGCATGCTCTTTTGGTTTAAAAAATTATAGGGCTGCGTATAAGGGCTTTGCTGATTGTATACGTCTCTTGCTATTCTTGGATGCATATAGGGGACGACAGGATAAAATGGGTAAACTAAATCATAAATACTTAGTTTTCTGTTGATGGATTGTTTAAATTTCTTGATTGAATTGATTCTTACCAATTAGTACTCTAGGATGTACTCCTCTTCATTGGGCCGCTTTCAAGGGTCACTTGGAAGCATGTACAGTGTTAGTGCAGGCAGGGAAGAAGGAAGACCTTGTGGTGATGGATCATACTGGCCTTACACCTGCCCAGCTTGCTTCCGATAAAAATCACCGACAAGTTGCTTTTTTCCTTGTAGGTATTCTTTCATTTAGTTCTATGCCCAGCAATAACAAAAATGGTTTACATGTGTCTCATTTCTGTTCTTATTTTAAGTTCTGTCAATCCATATTTGCTTCAACATTGCTAGTTGGGTACGTAGTTTGACTGGCTACTGGCCAGGCTTTTGCTTGTTGCATATCACTACGATGAGCACCTTAATAATGTCACGTAATGGTGTTTCTAAGTAGATGGTAGAATTTATTATGCGCTTCTAAACATACAGTCATGTATAAGGATCACCTTCTGTCAGTTTTTACTGATACATCCTGAATTCCTGATCTCTTTTAGTCAAAACATTTCTCTAGCAGCAGAGTCTTTTTACCTAGACACATATGCCAATGATTAATAACCTATTCTCTCATACTCACCATTTTTTTTACTTGGTAGTCATGGTGCGATATTTCATTTCTTGTTAATTCCTTGCAATCTCTCATAATGACTTAATAATGTTTGGTTTAAGTCAGCCTGTTTTGGCATGACTTTATTACAAATCTCCTACATGTTTCTTGGAAAATTGTGGATCTGCAGGGAAATGCTAGAAAGCTGTTTGAAAAACGTTGTGATGGGAATCACTGGCTCGGGAAACTGGCAAAATTAGGGTTTGCTCCACTTCTATGGTGTATAATTTTCCTGTTAATTGTAACATATATCCACTCGGTCATCATGGGTAAGTTTTCATGATAATTTGTGTTCATTTTTACTAACTATTTGATAGCCTCTCACAGGTAATCGAATACAATATTTATAATTATCTGTTGTCTCTTTTGGTTCAGCGCCTGGCTTGCCAAAGTTAACTGCTGCTGGTGCTTTATTCGCGTGGTTGGGTGTTTTCATTTCAACATCTGGATTAGTTATGTTTTATAAATGTAGCAGGTAAGACTTTTGATATTTTCTTAGTTATCAAGATCAATGTTCACTATGTCGCAGTGAGACGAAATACCCTAATGAGTCAATCAGCATCATTGTTCTACAAACTCTAGGTGTTAACATTCAGATTCAGTGACTCCTCTTTCTTACTTCATTGCGTTGATAATTTATTGTTGCTGTTTCCCTAAAGAAATCCTTTTTGTTTTTTTTCTTATGTTTCAACTTGGAAAAGGAGAACATTGTTTCCTTTTAAAAAATAATTAGGTGCATCTATTTTAGTATTTTAATTGTTTTTGAGTGACACAAAAAGGAGCTACTTAACACGATAGTGATACTTGTTGTATTGTTTGTGCTAAGTGAGCTATCACTGGGAATTTACTAATATACTTATTATGAACACACTAACGATAAAATTATGCATTTATCCTATTTTTGAATAATGGCCGGGTCAACCTCGAAACAGGTGACCCGGTCATCAAACCAGGCTGGTAGGTCCAAAAGCTGGAATCAGGGAAAAAACTGGAAAAACTGATTGAACCGGTTAAACCCTTTATGAATCGGTTTCCATAGTAAAATCCATTTTTTGGGTTTAAGCCTCTTAAATCCAATAATTGTATTCTTCATAAAAGATAATATAATAAAAAGGAAAGATTGGACAAGCCTCTTTGATTTAAATAATTATGTAATTATTCCAAAATAATTATTTTTGGTTCAAGCCTCTTTGATTGAATAATTATATTCAACATCACTGGAAACACCATCATTCCAAAACAATAATAGGGAATGTTATGTTTCTGATGTTCATTAAGTATGACACTATTGCCTATTAATAATTACGGTCATATGATTATTATGATTTATGAATAATAATTACTTTTACTCTATTTGATGTATAGTATATGTATCTATAAGTAAGTGTGTGTAATATGTTTTTTTTTTTATTTGAGCTGACCCAACATTGTCTTGGTTGTCAGACCAGGTCAGGGTTGACCCTTTACCTGGTCACTTGGCTGTATTGACCCCCGGATCTGGTTTTAAATCATAGTCACATGGATCGCGGTACGCTTCGGTACGCGGTACGAAAACGGGAACGCGGATCGCCAAAATTAGAAATTCGATACGTAGGGGGTAGGCTTCTTCGGTACGCGATTTCGGTACGCGGTACGCTGTACCCATTGTATATGGTACGGTGAACCATAAACATATTGAATTTACCAACTATAAATATAATACAAGTATAATATTAAACAATTAACTTCAATAACATTAAACAAACTTGAATAAGGCCTTAAATAGGCGTGAATGCCTGGAAGGTTAAGTGGGATAAACGGCGAAGAGTTAAGGCGTGAATGAAGAGTCCGGTCGTTTAGGTATTAGAGGTACGAAGCTCCTGGAACCGCGAAGAGTTCAACCAGCGAAGAGTTAAGGCGTGAATGAAGAGTCGGGTCGTTTAGGTATTTGAGGTACGAACTATGAAGCTCCTGGAACGGCGAAGAGTTCAACCGGGGCGTTTGGACTGCCGGTTCGTTGGACTCTTGCAGGAACGGTGAACGGGAAGAAGGCGACGCGACGTACCCACCGGAAGAAGTTTGCGAACTTCCATCTGGATCCGCCGTACCGGAATCGCGAACCTTCGGCGTTCCGAACGCGATTGTACCGCGATTTGGATCGCGCGTACCGGAACGCAAATCGCAGGTAAGTCTGCGATCCCTGTACCTATGTTTTAAATCATAATTTTGTTTTATTTAACTCTCTTTTGTGGGTTCCCTCTGTTAAATTTCTGTGCAGAGTCTTGTGATATATCTATATATATATATAATTAACTGTATATTTTGTGTGTGCTTATTTACTCGGTGCTGCTTTATTGTTTTTACACATTTATCATCTTAAAAGGATCCATCTACCTCATTTTCAATCTTCCTACATTTGGCTTTTTTCCATCAAACCTAGATTAGATAATACTTTGCTTTTTTTTGGTTTTGATCTTGACCGAAATGCTTATTGATTTTTTAAGAGTTTTTTCCTTGAATATTACTACGTACTTAAACAAAAGTGATGGATAAAATTATAACTTAAGTTACTACTAGTATATCATCATAGTCACTACAATGTAAATTAGAACAACATCATCGTCACTAAAGTTACTATTATAACCACTAAAGTATAAAAAGTCACATTTTTGTCCATTACCTTTATTTTAGTCATATATTTGTCATTATTTTCTTTTTTAATTTGATGTGCCTGTTTGCAGCAATGATCCAGGTTACATAAGGGTGAGCTTGCGTGACTCGCATGATACAAAAGATGATGTACGTTGAACTCTGTTTCTTTTACTCCAACCCACCCAAACCTGAAAGGGGTGCTAGGGAAGGAGTGGAAAATGTTTAACGTTGGGACTAAGGATTGGATGTTGTTGTTGTTTGGTGTTATTTAATCATTATTTGCAGAAAAACACTTCGATATGAGTAATTCTTCTAGTTAACATCTGCATTCTTAAATCTTAATTTTGATGTATTGTGTTAGGAACCATTATTGAAAGTTGAAGTTAACCACCCTGCTTTGGTTGCCGGAAACTGGTCTCAGCTTTGCTCTACGTGCAAGGTAGTTTTGATTTTTTTTTTGTTCTCTATGAGTTCACTCTCCTCTTTTATAGTTCCTCTTTGAAGTATTTTATCCTAAGTTTGCTGTTTCACTTTTACTAGATTGTCCGTCCTCTTCGTGCAAAACACTGTTCCACCTGTGATCGTTGTGTGGAACAATTTGATCATCATTGCCCGTGGGTATCTAACTGCATTGGAAAGGTGATAAAATTTGAGATAACCCTTCATATCCCCCCTCACTACTATTCCTCGTCCCCATTTTCTACTATTTTCTTGTTCTCGTTTTTCATATGATTGTCTCTATTGCAGTGTCCTTGTATGTAAATGCCACGTTTCACTGTGACTTGAGCTAACATGCTTTCTTGTTCAGAAAAACAAATGGGATTTTTTCATGTTTCTTGTTCTTGAGGTGTTGGCAATGCTAATAACTGGTGCAGTCACTCTTACCAGTAAGAATTGTTCCATATTTTTGATACTACCTCCGTCCCAATTTTTTTGCCATTTTTAAAACTTTGACAACTATATATTTTTATTGAAAATTATTTATAATATAAAAATGATATGGAAATGTTCTTTGTTAAAAGTACTTGCATAAAACTATAAAACTTATAACTTCCATAATATTATTATAATCAAAATCATGGTCCAAATTTTATGAAATGACAGTTTTTTGGGACAAAGGTAGTATTTTTTTTAAATGCTAGGTTTTTTGACTTTATGATAACATGACGTTCTCCTTGTGTCCGGATGAACCAACTAAAATACTCTTAACATTGCAGGAATCTTGACTGATCCATTGGCCCCATCCTCTTTTGGTGCATGGCTAAACCACACTGGTACTCAGCATATTGGTGCCATAATGTTTCTACTTGCAGATTTTTTCCTGTGTTCTGGTGTCACTGTCTTAACCGTGACTCAAGCTTCTCAGGTTCGTATCTTCCTTTTCGGTGCATTTTATTGCTAGGTATAACATGTTATTATCCGAGGCATGCATTCTTATTTTAATATGGTGTTAAAGAGAAATATTGTGTTACATGTGGCTTTGGGTGGTGCGAGATGGCAAATCCCTTCACCGCACACTGAGCTTGCATTCATCAATAACATAAACATTTTACTTCGGATAATGTTTTGGCTGTGTACATAGAAGACCGAGTGGTACACTTATTAGACAAGTTTAGAGGCAGGGAGAAGAGAGAGAAGAAGAACCAAATAAACATGGGAGAGTTCCCGAAATAGGACTAAAACAGTTTGAAAATTCTAAAATAGGACTGTCATGTTTTTTATTCCCAAAATAGGACTAATTACTGTCATGTTTAGAAAATACTACCATGTTTGAAGTCTGGTACTGCCAAAAAATGGCAGTAATTAGTCCTATTTTGAGAATAAAAACATGGCATTCCTATTTTATAATTTTCGAACTCTTTTAGTCCTATTTCGGGTAATATTCTCAATAAACATGGATTAGAGGAGTCAAAAAGTGATATGCTACTTTTTAGGTTGGATGAGAGTGACTTTGGAGAGAGCAAAGTTGAGGCCACATATTTCGGTGAATGATTGATCTCTTTTCATCTTTTCTATCTCTTTATCTTTCTTATGTTCTTTATCTTTTTATGTTCTTTATTTTTGAACTTACAAAGTCAATTCAGGATGATATACTGTGGTGCATGATGTTTCCCAATGATATTGTATTGATTGATGAGACACAATCAGGTGTTAAAGCAAAATAACAAGTATGGCGACAAACATTAGAGACCAAGGGTTTTAGACCGAGTCGAAACAAGAATGAGTATATGAAGTGCAAGTTTGGTGGAGGTAGAAGTAGTAATAACAGTGGGATTACATTTGATAGTGGGATTACATTTGATAGTGGGATTACATTTGATGGCAAAGAGATACCGGTGTGTAATATGTTTCGTTACTTGGGCTCTATAATTCAGAAGGATGGTGAATTAGATGGAGATGTATCCCATAGAATCAGAGCAGGATGAATCAAGTGGAAGAGTGCATTAGGAATTCTATGTGATCGAGGTATGTCGACTGGACTATAGTGTAAACTTTATTGAACAACAATTAGGTCTGCACTAATGTATGACGTAGAGTGTTGAGCGGTGAAACAATGTCACATTCAAAAGATGAGTTTGGTAAAGATGTGTATGTTGCGTTGAATGTGTGGACATACCAGAAAAGATCGCTTGATGAATGAGATAAATAGAAAGAGGTGAGAGTAACACCTATAGAAAATAAGATGCAGAAGTCTCGATTGCGGTGGTTTGGTAATATGCGTAGAGGACCAACTGATGTTCCTATTAGACGAGTTGAGAGGTGAAGAGAGGAGAGGAAGAAAAAGATCCAAACAGACTTGGATTAGAAGAATCAGAAATGATATGCTTCTTCTTGGGTTGGATGAGAGTATGCCTTTGGAGAGAGTATAGTGGAGGGCACATATTCGTGTGGAAAATTGATATCTTTTCTCTCTCTTTTTCTTTTATCTTCTTTTATCTTTCTATGTTCTTATGGTATTTTAGCTTTTATCTTTTATCTTTCTTATGTTCTTATCTTATTTTTATTTGATATTTATCTTATCCATTTTATCTTACTTTTTTTTTCTTATCTTTCATTTCCTTTTGGCTCTGATATCATGGATCAATTCATGTTTGCCTAACCCCATAATCTTTTGAGAATAACGCTTGGATGTTGTTGTATCTTCTCTTGATCTTGTCTTTTTTTTAAATCTTTTTTGTCTCTTTATCTTTATTTTTATCTTATCTTATGTTTTTTTATATTTGCTTGGCTTCGATTTTATATGTCGATTCATGTTAGCTAACCCAAATTCTTTTGGGACTAAGACTTGAATGTTGTTATTATTGATGATGATGTTTTTGCATATTCTTTTCTTAGCTTCTTAGGATGCCTTGCCATTTTATGTATGATCTGTAAAACAGCAAAAAACAAACCGTGTTGGTGATTTACACTCCGAGAGGGCATTACTCAAGTTTGAGTTTAGTTTTTTCTCTCAATGTAGTGATCTATCATTACCTAAATTTGAGTATCTGTTCTCCAAGCTGTTACTATGTATGGAGGGGTACTAAGTAGATGATTTAATTGGCAAATATCTATCGCTGGAAGACGAAAGGGGATTAGTGGATCACCCAAGCTACCACACCATGAACTTAGGAACATATATTAAGCTCTTTCTTTATTCTTTCTTTCTTTCTTTTCGGAAGCTAGTAGCATTTGAGGAGAGAAAGAGTTGGTAGTTATTTTTATTGGGGATGTTGATCCATGTCATTCGAAGGGATAATAGGGGACCAGTTGGACTATTCCCACCACAAGTTATTGTTTTTGTAGACATAATGTGGGTGCAAAGATAACTCCGCTATGAGATCATTTTTGGTATAATGCCTATTCCAAGCCAGAATAAAGGAGGAGAGTGTTGTGGTATACGCGTGATGGTCAACAGTATCATTTAGTCATATCACATGACATGAATCGGAATATGAATATCACTACAGATAAGTCGTCTCTCGTAAGCGACACATCATCCCTCTGCCTGAGTGGCGATAAGAATGCTGAGGTTGCTACTTGCAAGGTCATCGCCCGGAAACGATGCGCCACTCCAATGCTCGAGGATGGTGTCAAATATGCAAGACATGGTGAGAGTTGATGTGGTGTGAAGAAGAGAAGATATGGTGCTAGATTGCATTTTGGGACGTGGCTTACGGGAAGATTATTTGAGGTAGTCAAGGTTATGAGGAGGAAGAATATCAACATTATGTGCTTGTAAGAAACTTAGTGGGTTGAAGAAAAGGCACGTGAGATTAACCCCAGAGGTTTTAAGTCGTGGTATTTAGGGAGAGAGAAGACCAGAAATGAAGTATGCATTATTATGGCGCGTGATTAAGTTGATGGTGTGATGGAAGTTTTTAGGAAGAACGACTTTATCATGAGTATTAAATTGGTAATAGAAGATGAGATCATGTTCGTGGTAAGTGCCTATGCACCACAAATGAGATTAGATGCATTTATCACTCAACAATTTTGGTAAGATCTTGAGGAAGTGGTGCGACGAGTGCTAAGGAGAGAAAAGTTGGTCATATGAGGTGACCTCAATGGGCATGTGGGCCCAAGTCGTGATAGTTTTGAGAGTATCTATGGCGGACATGGTTTTGGCACTAGAAATGTAGAGGGGAAGAGCATTATGAATTTTGCTTCCACATATGAGTTGATTGTAATGAACATTTGTTTCAAGAAAAGATACTCTCACCTTGTGACCTATAGAAGTGGAGCTAATAGTACCCAAGTTGACTACTTTTTAGTATGAACGACCTGTAATACTAACTATACTGATTGTAAGGTTATCTCAAGTGAGAGAGTGCTTTCAATCAACATATGATGTTTGTGCTTGATTTTCAAGGTAGGAAGAGAAAGCAGGTTAAGGTACAAGTGGAAGCAAAGATAAAGTTGTGAAGGCTCGAGGGGGATCTCCAACAAAGTTTTGCACACAAAATGCTGGAGGAAGATGTATGGTATATTAGTAATGACACACATGTGAATGATATGTGGTTATCAGTGGAGTCGACCATTGACAATGTGGTGAATGAGATGCTCGAAATATCTGAAGGAAGTCTGCCACCAAAAAAGGATATATTGGAATGATGGAGTGAAACAAACAATAAAGACCGAAAAGGATGCTACAAAAAGTTGGGTAAAAGTTGGAGCGATGACAACATAGAAGCTAAAAGAAAAACAAAGAAAGTCGTAAAGGAAGTAAGAAGGAAAGTGAATTGTATGTAAAATTGGAATTTAAGGAAGAAGAAAAATATATTAACAGACATGCTCGTCTTCATGATCGTATGACTCAAGATATCAGAAAAGTTAAGTGTGTGAAGGATATCGATCAAAGGGTACTAATGAAGGACGAGGAAATAAAAGAGAGGTGGAGATCATACTTTGACACCTTATTCAACGGGAATAAAGTGCAAGATATTGATGATGTTAATGTACGAGATTGTATGGTAAATCTGAACTTTGTGAGAAAAATCGAAAGGACAAAAGTTATAGAGGCTCTGAGAAAGATGAGAAAGATGAGGCAGAATCGCGAAAGACAGCAGGACCATAGCATACCGATCGAGGTTTGGAGAAGTTTGGGAGAGAAAGACATCAAATGGCTAACATGTTTCTTCAACTTGATTTAGAGAAACAACAAAATGTCTGTGAATTGGCGGAATAGCACTTTCATTCCCCTATTTAAAAATAAGGGTGATATACAAGAATGTGCCAACCATGGAGGCATTAAGCATATGAGTCACAACATGAAACTTTGGTAGCGAGTGGTTGAGCAAAGTTTCCGAAAAAGTGTGAAAAAACTTTGGAGAATCAATTTGGTTTTATGTGTGGATGCTCAACAACTGAGACAATTCACCTTCTTAGACAAGTCGTGGAGAAGTGTAGAGACACTAAAAGGATCTTCATTTGGTATTCATTGACTTAGAAAAGACATATGATAGGGTATCTCGAGAAGTCCTTTGGTGGACCGTAACTAGAAAATGCATATTACGGAAGTATATCAATATCATCATGAATATGTATGAAGCTTGTACTACAAGTGTTCGTACTAGTGTAGGGAGGACGGCATAGTTCACTATTACTATCAGAGTGCACCAATGATCGGCTCTGAGTTCTTTCTTATTTGTTATACTCATGGATGAACTTACGAAATCAATTCAAGAAGATATATTGTGGTGCATGATGTTTGCTAATGATATTGTATAGATTGATGAGACGCAATCGGGTGTTAAAGGAAAGTTAGAAATATAGTTGTTACGGCGTTGCCTAGGCGCCGACTAGGCATCCAATAGCTAGGGAGGGGTTGCCGTGAGCCATTGCCTTGCCGGAAGAAGAATAGGCGACCGCGTCGTCCTTCAGGCGTCGTCCAGTCGTCAGTTTGGCGAGAAGGCGTTCGCCAAGAGTATAACTAACATATTAATCGTAGATTAATCTTTCGCAGTCCAAACCGCATGCCCAGATTTAAGGAACTAATTTAATTAGGACTTCAGAATATTAGCCTGAAGAAGATGCTGAGTTTTAAGATTAAGCCATCGGCCAGAACCCTAGGCCCATCAACAGTTCATCTGGTCAGCCGAGTCACTGACGCAAGTCGCCACAGTAGGCTGCTGCCTCAGGTCGGTGTATAGCGCAGCTGCTCCACCTCTGCCTCCATTTACTTCGCTCATTAGGCGTTCTCATTTTTTAAGGTCACTAGCTGTTCTTTTATTTTGGATTTTGTTTGGTTGTGCAGACAGCTGGACTCCATATATTTTTAAATGTACTATCCTCCGTTCTTTAATTCTTGCAACAGTTTGACTTTCACGTTTGCCAACGCACAACTTTGACTGTAATTATATTTAATTATGTATTAGTAAAAATTATAAAAGATTGATATTTCGGAAATTCACATTGATAGGAATTCAATAACATTTTATACGTAATAATTTGATTATGTATATTAGTAGAAAATCGTGGTCAAAGTAAGGTCTGTGAACAGTGCAAAAATCACAATGTTGCAAGAATTAAAGAACCGAGGAAGTATTATGCATTTTCTACTTTAATATACACTGTTTGTGCACAGTAAACTTCTGATTCTCTTTCTTTTATTTCATGCCCAGCTGGAGTCAATTTATCAGATTTAATCGTTGTTACCAAACGTCTGCCATTCTATTGCATATTGCCTATTTTATGTTATTTTGTTTGTGAGAATTTTTATCGAACATTTTTTCTACATACATAATCTATTGTTTCATATATGTTGTTTTAATACAATCTTTAATATATTATATTTTATTATATGTATACTTAAAGAAGACAGACATATTGTGAAAGTAATTATATATTATTCAATAATATATTGTATTGATTGATGAGACACAATCCGGTGTTAAAGCAAAGTTGGAAGTATGGCGACAAACATTGGAGACCAAGGGTTTCAAACTCAGGCAAAGCAAGACTGAGTATATGGAGTGCAAGTTTGGTGGAGGTAGTAGTAGTAGCAACAACGGGATTACTCTTGATGGTAAGGAGATACCGGTGTGTGATATGTTTTGTTACTTGGGTTCCATAATTCAGAAAGATGGTGAATTAGATGAGATGTATGCCATAGAATCAGAGCTGGGTGGATGAAATGGAAGAGTGCATCAGGATTTTTATGCGATTGAGGTATGCCGACTAGACCGAAAGGTAAATTTTATCGAATAGGGATTAGGTCCGCATTAATGTATGACATAGAGTGTTGGACGGTGAAGCAATGCCACATTCAAAAGATGAGTGCCAGAGATGCGTATGTTGCGTTGGATGTGTGGACATACCAGAAAAGACCGCTTGAGGAATGAGATAATCAGACAAAAGGTGGGAGTAGCACCTATAAAAGATAAGATCAAGTGATGCATCAGTTAGACGACTTGAGAGGTGAAGAGAAGAGACAGAGAAGAGAGGGAGGAGAAGACCCAAATAGACTTGGATTAGAAGATTGAAAACTGATATGCGTCTTCTTGGGTTGGATGAGAGTATGTCTTTGGAGAGAGCAAAGTGCAGGGCGCACTTCCGTGTGGACTATTGATGTATTTTCTTCCTTTCCTCTCTCTTTTCTTTTATCGTTTTTCTTCTTTATCTTTTTATATTCTTATGTTATTTTGATCTTCTAGCTTTTTTATGCTATTTTATCTTTCTATCTTTTATCTTTCTTTCAAAAGATGAGTGTGGCAGAGATGCGTATGTTGTGTTGGATGTGTGGACATACCAGAAAAGACCGCTTGAGAAATGAGATAATAGACAAAAGGTGGGAGTAGCACCTATAGAAGATAAGATGCAGGAGTCTCGTTTGAGGTGGTTTGGGCATGTGCGTAGAAGACCGAGTGATGCATCCGTTAGATGACTTGAGGGGTGGGGAGAAGTGGCAGAGAAGAGAGGGATGAGAAGACCCAAACAGACTTGGATGAGAAGAATCAGAACTGATATGCATCTTCTGAGGTTGAATGAGAGTATGACTTGGATTGATGTCTTTTCTATGTTTCCTCTCTCTTTTCTTTTATCGTCTTCCTTATTTTTTTTAATATTCTTATGTTATTGTTATCTTATATTTATTTATCTTTATTTTATCCGTTTTATCTTACTTTCCCCCTTCTTGTCTTTCTTCTCTATTTGGCATTGATATCATAGATCGATTCAGAGGTAAGGGTCAGATTGGTCCTCGAAGTTACATAAAAGGGATCAAATAAGTCCTTATATAGGAGACTCTGTCCGGCCGTTGCCATTCGGGTCAGTTCTCGCTGAAATTTTTTGATTTAATTTTTTGATCATCTTATTCATTAAGTCTAGTTTACTCATACCAAATTTCAGCTAAAACTTCAATCGGGAAGGCATTCAAATGAAGTCTTGAAAATAACTGCGCAGTTACCTTCAAGAATTCATTTGAATTCCTTCCCGATTGAATTTTTAGCTCAAATTTGGTATCAATAAACTAGACCTAATGAATAAGATGCTCAAAAAATTAAATCAAAAAATTCCAGCGGGAACCTCCCCAAATGGCGACGGTCGGACAGTAAGGACTCATTTGACCCTTTTTATGCAATTTCGAGGACCAATCTGACTCTTACCTCGATCGATTCATGTTAGGTGACCCCAAATTCTTTTGGGATTAGGGCTTGAATGTTGTTGTATGTATACTTAAATATTACATATGGCATGACTTGTCCCCTAGGCTGGCGCCTAGATGCCTAGGCGATAAGGCAGTCGATTGGCATCTTGCCTCGCCCAGCCGCCGTGACAACTATGATTCAAATATAGTTTATTTCACTTACAATGGCAAAATCTACATTTAAAATACTGGATTTCACTGTCTAAGTTAAAAATTATAATCGCCTAAACATTGAAACCAATTATTGAAAGCTACTTACGATTTCTGCATTTACCTGATTAAATTGTAAGTAAAGTTATAACTGTAAACATACATTTCCCTGAATCCATCTATATGCACTTTGGATTACGATCAGTTTTACCTCCAGACTAGCTATCTGCTGTACTAATGTACCTTTTACTTGGAGACAACCTTACCTTATCAACTTAAAAGTTATACATCATAACTAAAATGTTATTACCCTGGTGATTTTTAATGATGTCATTACACTATACTACACTAATACTGCACTAATTTAATGATGATTCTTCATTGTTTTTGTTAAGCCAAGTGAAGATTTTCATATAGTGCAATGAGCTTTGTTAAGCCTTCATATTACTACAGAACAGAACATTACTGCTCTTCATCACTCGATTTCAGAAAACCTCTGCACTAAATCATTGTCACATAATGACTTCTCCATTCCTGTCATTTTCTCGGCAGTGCTCACCTTTACCAATTACCAGCTCATCGACGGCAGTCTTCATCATTACTGTCTCTACCACTCCGCAGTCCACATTCTTCACCATTGCTTTCTTTCAATTCAAACTCTACTTTCACACTCTATCTGTCTTCTTTGATATACAACTGTAGAAGGAAAGGTGTTTCCTTATGGTTCTCTTCAGCATTAAATGTTCAGTCTCCCTCCCTCGACAAATTCGTTTACTTTCTGTTTAAGGAAGCCCCTTTTGTTCAAAATTTGCCAACACGGGCACATCAGGCAAATGAAGTCATTTTGTCTCATTTTTAAAATATCGGGTACTCATGTACAGTGACTATATAGGGGGTGTTTGGATTTGATTCTTAAAACTGCTTCTGCTACTTGAAGGAGCATAAGCAGAAGTTGGAATGTTTGGGTAAAAGTGCAGATGTGCTTCTGAAAACTGATTCTGATTCTGCTTCTGCTTTAAAAAAGAAACAAAATCAGAATCAGTTCCAAACACCCCCATAGTCATGTTCTGGTCAATAAAGTATTTAGTCATATTATTGGAAATCCTCTCTTTTAGTAATATATTGCTGTATTTTTCCCTATTTTAAATGAGGGCCAATATTTAGATAACACTTTTTAAGAGATGTAAAACATCAACTTTACTAGATTTATTGGAAGCTGTTTGTTTTGCTGGAATTTGAAGTAACAAACTTGAACACAGGAATGAATGTTGTCAAATGGCCAGTGGTTCATTTTTTTAATTATTTACTGATTTAGTACCTCCATCCCAAAAAATACTTCCCGGTTTGACTTGGCACGCTTATTAAGAAAGTGGAATAAAGTGGAAATGTATGGTTGTAGTTGTGTAACAAAAAGGTAAAATGAATGTGAGCCACACAAATTGTCCAAAAAGGGAAAGTGAGAAGTATTTTTTGGATCGGCCCAAAAAGGAAAGTGGGAAATTTTTTGGGACGAAGGGAGTATTTTGTTTATTTATTTATTGTTTGACTGTTTGTTTGTTCCTCTGTCTGTTCTTTCATTTCGTGTTTATTTTGTAATCTTCATCGGAACTAGTTTTAACTCATGTTTCTGAATTGTGATGGAGCAATTATTCAAAGATTGGCCAACTTGATTATTTCTCTTCATTGTATTGCTGACAGATTGCATACAATATTACAACAAATGAGATGGCAAATGCAATGCGCTATAGTTACCTCAGAGGGCCTGGTGGTCGGTTCAGAAATGCTTATGATCATGGATGTAGGAAAAACTGTTCAGATTTTCTGATAAATGGATACAATGAGGATGTTGAGTACAGTGAAGAATCACCTCAACCTGGAAGTATTGGGATTGTGCAAATGGCTATGAGTTGTACAGCCCTGCAGAATGGGGTTAGCCATTCTCAACAGACCAATGGAGACGACCATGTAGTGATCAATGTGAATAACAGCAGTGGCTTTCATAATGACCCCCATTCTTCTCAGTGTAATACTCATAATAGTACTAGTAGCAGCAGCAGGAAAAACAAAACCGAATGTGTACCATTAGGATTGGGCATCGGCTTAGGAAAAAACAGTGATGCCCGTGCTGTGGTTGTTCATGATTGATTGATGCACCATCACTTTTTGTTCAGAGCGCCATTTTGAATACATTTTTTCCTTTGGTAATTCAATGAGGTTTTACCCGTTTGCTCATTTCTATGTTCCCCATGATGGCCAGCTACAGATGAGCTAAGTAGTTATATTAATGAACCCACATCATGAACGCCTGCTTTTTTTTATTCAAACTTTGGCTTAGGTGTTTAACTCGCATACTGAAGATCACTCGCTCTTAACACCACCACATAGAGTAGTGGATCCATCGCTTAAAAAGCTGATAAAAGCATATACGATAGTATTTATACACGTTAATGCAAAATTTAGATCTCAAATCACTTGGGTACTCTAATTGGTGCCCGTATAAAAGTATTCTAACTTCTCGTCAGTGGAGATATGGATGGACTCGGGCCGGGTGGCCTGACCCGGAACCGGCCCGGGACCGGTACTGTTCTGGCCAGGCCCGACCCGGTGGCCTGGTCAGTGACCGGTCCGGGTAGGCCCGACCTGTGGGTTTTCCGGTCCGGGCTCGGGTCATCCAAAACAAGGCCCGACCCGGCCGGGCCCGGGCCCTGTTTGGGCCAAAACTTTTTTTTTCTTCAATTTTTTTTTAAATTTTCGGGTTGGGTTGGGTATTTTGGGCCATTTGGGGTGGTTTGGGGGGTTGGGGGTGGGAGGGGGATTAATTAGGAAGAGGGAAAAAAAATTGATAATGGGCCCGGACCGGACCCGGTGGTTACCCGGTCCGGTCCTGGGTCCACCACTCCTGAACCGCTGGCCCGCTCGGGCCTAGGCCCGACCCGGACCCGGCCCGGACCCGACTCCATCCCTAAGTGGAGACCACTGATTTATCGGGGTTCAGATTGTACTTCGTTTATTTTGTAAAGATAATATTGTTATGTACATTTGTTAAATATAGGAGAACCTAGGAAAAAGGATTTACTGATTTATTAAACTTTTAGCTTTGAAGTAAAAGTTAAAAATGATGAGATGTTTGATAAAATTGTTAAAGTTAGCTATTGTATTCCCTTTAGAAGAGCTGTTCTATTGTTTATAGTGAATGATATAAACAATATAACAAGACTAAAAATGATCTGAAATTCCAAAAATGAGAGAATTATAGTTTTATTCCCTAAATATGAGTAATTACTATCAAATTTGGTAAATACTATCATGTTTTAAATATGAAAATTCCAAAATATGGTAGTAAATGATCACAGTTAGAGAATAAAACATAGTACGGAGTACTTCTATTTTTAAATTTACAAACATCTTTGCTTTTCTTAGGGCAATTTTTTTTTTAAATTATGTGTAATACAATCTAACATTTAAGAACACATGTTGAGGTGCTATAAAGTTAAGAAGTACGAAACACTATAAAATTAAATGTTAGTTGTTGTATTATATAAGGTCCTCACAATATTAATTTATTTTTATTTTAGTACAAAATGTGATTTTTGTACATCAATTTCATTTAGTGTGCAAGAAGGGCTACAAGGATCGCGGCAAATTATGAATAATGCAATGGTATCATTAAACTTATTTTGAGATTTATTATAATTTAACAATGTTTGGTAACATATTTGAAATCACTACATGTTAAATATTTTGCATTCGTTAAGACTTACCCATATGTTGAAACAATATTTATTATTACTTAATGATTAAGTAATAATAAATATTGTTTCAACATATGGATACCCGGTCTTAATGTTATTATTATGAGATTTAAGAATGAGTTGCCTCTTTTTTCAAAGAAAAGTGTAGATGTACTATTGAACCGTGATAAATGGATATTATTAGGGATGGACTAAACCGGCCCGGCCCGGAACCGGCCCGGCCTGACCCGGAACCGGCCCGGTCTGATCCGGAACCGGCCCGGCCTGACCCGGAACCGGCCCGGCCCGTTACTGTTTGGGCCCGGACCGAACCGGGACCGGTTGGCCGGTTCCGGGCTTTTAGCCCGTTTGGGCGGGTCGGGCGGGCCGGGCTCGGGCCCAACTTTTGGTGAACCGGCCCGGGCGGTTCGGGCCGGGCCCGATTCATTTTTTTGGTTTTTCAATTTTTTTGATTTTCTAGGTTAGGGTTGGGTGTTTTGGGGGGTTTGGGGGGTGGAGGTGAAGGGGGGGGGGGTCGGGTGTTAATTAGAAACCAAAAAAAAATTGAACTTGACCCGGGCTCGGCCCGGCCCGGTTAGGCCCGAACCCGGTATCAACCCGGGCCGGTTCGGGGCCCACCATTTTGCAAAAAAAGCCCGCCCAGGCCCGTACCGGAACCGGACCGGCCCGGGTCCATCCCGGAACCGGAACCGGACCGGCCCGGGTCCATCCCTAGATATTATGGGGGGAGGGTCTATAATACATTAAGTTTATCAACCTACTAATAACATTTTTTGTTGTAAAAGATGTAAATGTCTATTGGCATTAGAACACTCCTTAGGAATAAGGTAATGAAATTCCGGTATGGACTTTTTTTGGACAGGCGGAGATCACTGCTTTGAACGTGATTTTGCTAGAAGTCTGATTCATATAGTAGATAAGAAGGCGTGAATCCATGGTGGTTATGAGGAACTAAAGAACGAGTTCCTTTTATAAAAGAAATGATCTGCCCTACTCTCTGTACTCTGTAGTGAGTTAGTCTAGTTTGAAACCTGTTCTTTATATCTTTCTTGATCCTCAATTTATCTTTTAGCCAAGGGTTTTCGAATAGGAGAAGAAAGGCAGAGGTCCGTATGCCACCCACCAGAAGATTTGAAATGCAGGAATGCAATAGAGGATCCATTTCCCTCTTTTGATTAGCCAGTTTCCAAGGGGGAGAGGCAAGCAGAACGCTAGATCAAATTCTGCTAGCGGTACGCCAGCTGATTGAGATCGGGGAGAATCCCACTTGTCAAATATGTTCACTATTTTTATGAACCTATAAAAGTTAAGTTTTTAATATATTATGCGTTTACCTTCTATTTATGCTATTGATTTTATTCTAGAGTTAAAATTTAAACTTGCCAAAGGGATTGATACAAAAATAAATTTTCTAGAGCAACTGATTTCATGATTAATAAAGCAAATGAGCTCACTAAACTGTCTGCACTTCTTTGTTATGAAGCAACAGTCAGTCCATGCAATTTTTGACGCAATTTTCACTATGGGTCATCCAGAAACAGTCTCTCGTTAGAAAACATTGCCAAGAAGAAAGCAGTAGGAAAAATATCAACCAAAGAAAAAGTCCACATCACCCTCAAAGCGGGTAAGATGGAGTTTATCTCCTCGCTGAGTTGAGAGGCTGATGGAATTTGATGAGATGAGTTGATTCTGAGATGGATGCAGATGAGCATTGTTCTTGTCTTGATACCTGCAAAAAACAGCTCTAGCCAAGGCTGAGACAGGAATATAAATATATATAGCTTCGTAGTGATTCCATGTGCGGTTCCCGAGCTGGTAGATTTCTCCGAGTTGTACATTTATCGGTGGCTGGATTCCTTCCTAAGTTGTTTGGTTGTTGAGCCTAGGTGTGGTTGTCTCGAAATTCATTAAGACTTCCTAGTCCCCCACACCTTTTGAGCTCATAGTGTAAAACTAGAGGTGAAAAGGAGTAGAATGTAATATGCCTGAGTTGCGAGGATACCCTCGGCTGGAGTTCCAACACCTAAGAAGTTCTCGGAGTGAATATGTAGAAGTGGGATCAACACTTTGTATTCGAATGAGACGTGTGCAAATTAAATGACTTGATGGCCTGGTACTCCCCATATGACACATATGGCTGACGTTTGGCCTGTAACAATGTCAGTAACCCGACGTCAGCCCTAGTGTCTAACTCGGCCTTCCAGGTATCGGGATCAATTGCTAAACCTCCCCACCTACAAAAGTATTAAGGTTGGGGATTATCCACTTTCAGCCTTTACCCTCTCCATATCTGCTAGTCCTTAGTTTTCTACTAGTGCTGCTATTCTTCGAGTTAGTTGTTCTGCACGAACTCTACCTCCTTTTCTCATGTTGGTCATCCTCTTCCCCTCTTCTTTCTTCTTATTCTTGAGCCTTCGAATTACCAGAACATAAGGGTTCCTATCGAGGGTTTTGCTATGGCTTCAAACCCTAAGCTAGGAAATATACCAGGGTTGGCCTTGAAAATAGGTTTCTTAGTCTTGAAATGTCCATCATGTGAACTTCCCTCATCGTATTTGGTCATTAGCAGCCCAAAAAGCTGTCATTAGGCTCGAAACAGATGGGTAGGTGTTCTTGATGTTTATCAAGTTCATCATGTTGTTCATTAAGAAAAACCGGAATGGCCAACTTTAGCAATTCATCCCTCAAATATGTGTTATAGGCCTGAAATTCCCAGTTTTCATGAAAATTTTCCTCTTTCTCCCCTTTTAGAATTTAAGATATCCTCTGCTTCGTTTGCTAAGACAGATGAATGGTACAAGAAAGATATGCTCCTATCACTGTGCACCTGCTGAGGCAGTGCGAGACCCTTCTGAAAAAATGGACATATGTGATCAAGAGCTATATCGTCGAGGAGCGCCCGAAGACTCTGGGCGAGAGGAAGATCGGTAAGGGGAGCGGGAGGAGGCCCGCCATCCACGTGGTGGAAAGTTGCAGTCTCCAATCAGCGACAAGAGAGACCGCTGCCACCATCGCAGAGGTGGAGGCACAATCCCACCATTTCCCTCCCAAGCAGAACGCCGTCGCGTGGAAGAAAGAGCCCCTCACACGGTCGCTGAGGGTGTATTCCGGCCGCCGCTGGATGGAATCTCACCGTCGCAATAGAGGTGATTTGCACTTGTCCAAATCGGATATGTATCCTCTTTGACATTTACAGAGAAGGAGCCAAAAAGGAGAGTGGACTGGTCTTCTTTCACTTTGCCGCCCTCACCCGGCTAGTTGAATCTGGCTTTCGCCACCCACTCTTTGACAGGTTGTTGGGCTAGAAGAGATTTTCGTAAGTGTTAACTTAGATATGATCTATTTTATTGAGTATTAGAATCCTAACGACGAGCATCATCATCTTTGTTTCATATTTTTTGATTCACTTTTTTTTTCTTTTATAAACTTATTAAATTATATGTTTAAACAATTCCAATATACAAATTTAATGTGATATGATACTTTTGAAATATGTAATAATATGACATTTTACAAATGAGCAAAACAGCAATACCAAATGAGCATATGTAACTTACAAAATGTACATTAATATGAAAATCGTAAAGTTTG